CTGCTGCAGGGGCCCCCAGACCCCCCACGGTGCTGCCCCATGAGGCCCCAGGGGAACGAGTCTCAACATCTGGGGAGGGTCCGACAGAGGCCCCGGTGTCTGAAGGATGGGTCATTACTGCTGTATTTCCTGTGTTCTGATTCTCTGATCTGCTCATGAGGAATCGACAACTTTAGGACGATGCTGTTGTGATTTAGAGCTGTACGAAAATACATGGAATAGAATTTACCTTCAGAGACAGTAATGTACATAATGTGTTTGACCCACATCGGAATCACAGCAGAATACACATGTTTTATTAAATATATTATGTTTTATTAAAAATATTATGTTTTATTAAATATATTATGTTTTATTAAATATATCTTCTTGGGCCACGTCTGCAGGAGGCTCAAACTCCATTTATCTGGGGCGCACATGATGAGTAATGGTGAAGATATTGGGCGAAATGGTGGCTGAGTGGTTAGCACTGGGTTCGAATCCCGGTTGGAACAGGACCTTTCTGAGTGGATTTTGCATGTTCTCCCTGTGTCTGCGTAGGTTTCCTCCAGGTGCTCCAGTATGTACAATAGGTCTGTCATGCGCCTCTGTGGAGTGAGACAAATGCCCAAAAAAACAATTGTAAAGCGCTTTGTGACTCTGGTCTGTTAAAGGCGCTATATAAATAAATATTACTTACCACCTGTTCTAGATTCTAGCCATGTCCCTGTGCTCCTCAGAGTCCCAGCAGGAGGCCAGTCCCTGTGCTCCTCAGAGTCCCAGCAGGAGGCCAGTCCCTGTGCTCCTCAGAGTCCCAGTAGGAGGCCAGTCCCTGTGCTCCTCAGAGTCCCAGTAGGAGGCCAGTCCCTGTGCTCCTCAGAGTCCCAGCAGGAGGCCAGTCCCTGTGCTCAGAGAACTTTAGTAGAGAAACAAACTGTATAAACTTGAACGACACTAAAACCAAACTCTCCTTTTCTCTTCTGGCAGTGAACGGCGCAGACGTCATGGCCGACCTTCAGGACCCGTACCTGGTCAGTGTGCACCTGATCGCCGATCCGGATCACGCCGGTTTCCTCCAACACGCCACCGACACGGTCCTGTCCTGGATCCACCCCGACCTGCAGCTGTTCCGCGTCTCTGAACGGGCGCACCGCTCCAAGAAGCGCGCCCAGAACTCCTCTGCCCAACCCGCCTTAGCCGTCATCCTCTTCCTCCAGGAGTCCTACGGCGGCGAGCAGCACGTCCTGTCGCTGCACCGCGCCCTGCAGAGGCCGCCGTGGCGCTTCCACCACACCGAGAAAGTTAGCAACGGCAAAAGGATGCTACCGCTAACGCCGTGTAGCCAAGACTTTTTCACGCTAACTCCCGGGACGCCGCTGTGGGCCGTGAGACAAGTCCACTACGGGAAAGAGATCGTCCGCTTCACCATCTACTGCCGGCACCAGAACTACGGCCACATGGTGCGGCTGTACAAGCTGCTGCTGCACAAGCGGCCGGCGCAGAAGAAGGAGGACTTTTGTTTCTTCGTGGTGTTTTCCAACGCCGACTTGGAGATTCAGCTGTCGTTGAAGCGGCTGCACAAGGGCTCGGTGCCCGCGGCGCTGGACTCTGCGCTGCTGGAGGTGCGGGTGCGGGACGTGGGCGCGCTGGTGCCGCTCCTGCCGCACACCTGCCGGCCAATCAGTGATCTCCGCTGGCAGACGCAGGACTACGACGGCAACAAGATACTGCTGCAGGTACAGGGTTAAAGCTGGGGGACCTAACTTTACTGTTCAATGTTTGTTTACAGCCCGAGATGATGATGATGATAAGAGGCTCGCTCCCCCAAGGCCCGGAGTTTGGTCCTGAGTCCTTAAATCACAACAGTTGTCGTCTCTGAGGACTGCAAAGCTGTCGATTCCTCAACGATAGATCAGAGAATCAAACAGTTCAAACACAAACGACCACTGTCCAGACATGTCCCAAACCCAGTGGGAACAAAGTGAGAAACCTCATGAAGACCCACAGCGAGAGAGGGATCCGCTCTCACAGACAGACTCAGGCTGTAGAACGAGGGCAGAGGCCAGAGAGAGACCGGAGATCTGCATGGAGGAACGGGCCAAAATACCAGCAAAACAAAGAGTTAATAAAACACAATAACAGTGTAGAGAGAGACTTTGTTATTGACTTTGAATATTGAGTTGGAGATAGATTTCTTCCCCATGTTGTGTGTCCATGTTGTGTGTCCTTGTTGAAGTATTTTGCGTTGACACTTACAGACGCACACATGTACAGTTGGCGTCTTATTAAACACATTTTTCCCACATTTCACTTGGATCCACAGTCGTTCTCAGAGATCACAGAGAAGAGGATTACAACCTTCTGCTGTCTCTGGGTTTCTCAGTTTCAAATCTGATTTAACTGTGTCCATTACTGAGATTGGTCTGTTACGCAACAAAGGACTGATGCCTCCTGCCTCACCCCTCCTGCCTCACCCCTCCTGCCTCACCCCTCCTGCCTCACCCACCTGCCTCACCCCTCCTGCCTCACCCCTCCTGCCTCACCCCTCCTGCCTCACCCCTCCTGCCTCACCCCTCCTGCCTCACCCCTCCTGCCTCACCCCACCTGCCTCACCCCTCCTGCCTCCCCCACCTGCCTCACCCCTCCTGCCTCACCCCACCTGCCTCACCCCTCCTGCCTCACCCACCTGCCTCACCCCTCCTGCCTCACCCCTCCTGCCTCACCCCTCCTGCTTCACCCTCCTGCCTCACCCCTCCTGCCTCACCCCTCCTGCCTCACCCCCCTCCTGCCTCACCCCTCCTCCTGCCTCACCCCCTGCCTCACCCCTCCTGCCTCACCCCTCCTGCCTCACCCCTCCTGCCTCACCCCTCCTGCCTCACCCCTCCTGCCTCACCCCTCCTGCCTCACCCCACCTGCCTCACCCCTCCTGCCTCACCCCTCCTGCCTCACCCTCCTGCCTCCCCACCCCTCTCCTGCCTCACCTCCCTCACCCCTGCCTCCCCCCCTGCCTCCCCCTCCTGCCTCACCCCTCCTGCCTCACCCCCTCACCCCTCCTGCCTCACCCCTCCTGCCTCACCCCTCCTGCCTCACCCTCCCTCCTGCCTCACCCCTCCTGCCTCACCCCTCCTGCCTCACCCCTCCTGCCTCACCCCTCCTGCCTCACCCTCCCCCTCCTGCCTCACCCCTCCTGCCTCCCCCTCCTGCCTCACCCCTCCTGCCTCCCCCTCCTGCCTCACCCCCCTCCTGCCTCACCCCTCCTGCCTCACCCCTCCTGCCTCACCCCTCCTGCCTCACCCCTCCTGCCTCACCCCTCCTGCCTCACCCCTCCTGCCTCACCCCTCCTGCCTCACCCCTCCTGCCTCACCCCTCCTGCCTCACCCCTCCTGCCTCACCCCTCCTGCCTCACCCCTCCTGCCTCCTGCCTCACCCCTCCTGCCTCACCCTCCTGCCTCACCCCTCCTGCCTCACCCCTCCTGCCTCACCCCTCCTGCCTCACCCCTCCTGCCTCACCCCTCCTGCCTCACCCCTCCTGCCTCACCCCTCCTGCCTCACCCTCCTGCTTCACCCCTCCTGCCTCACCCCTCCTGCCTCACCCCTCCTGCCTCACCCCTCCTGCCTCACCCCCCTCCCCCTCGCCTCCACCCCTCCTGCCTCACCCCTCCTGCCTCACCCCTCCTGCCTCACCCCTCCTGCCTCACCCCTCCTGCCTCACCCCTCCTCCCTCACCCCTCCTGCCTCACCCCTCCTGCCTCACCCCTCCTGCCTCACCCCTCCTGCCTCACCCCTCCTGCCACCCCCACCCTCCTGCTCACCCCTCCTGCCTCACCCCTCCTGCCTCCCCCCTCCTGCCTCACCCCTCCTGCCTCACCCCTCCTGCTTCACCCCTCCTGCCTCACCCCTCCTGCCTCACCCCTCCTGCCTCACCCCTCCTGCCTCACCCCTCCTGCCTCACCCCTCCTGCCTCACCCCTCCTGCTTCACCCCTCCTGCCTCACCCCTCCTGCCTCACCCCTCCTGCCTCACCCCTCCTGCTTCACCCTCCTGCCTGCACCCCTCCTGCTCACCCCTCCCTCACCCCTCCTGCCTCCTCCTCACCCTCCTGCCTCACCCCTCCTGCCTCACCCCTCCTGCCTCACCCCTCCTGCCTCACCCCTCCTGCCTCACCCTCCTGCCTCACCCCTCCTGCTTCACCTCCTCCTGCCTCACCCCTCCTGCCTCACCCCTCCTGCCTCACCCCTCCTGCCTCACCCCTCCTGCCTCACCCCTCCTGCCTCACCCCACCTGCCTCACCCCTCCTGCCTCACCCCTCCTGCCTCACCCCACCTGCCTCACCCCTCCTGCCTCACCCCACCTGCCTCACCCCTCCTGCCTCACCCCTCCTGCTTCACCTCTCCTGCCTCACCCCTCCTGCCTCACCCCTCCTGCCTCACCCCTCCTGCCTCACCCCTCCTGCCTCCCCCACCTGCCTCACCCCTCCTGCCTCACCCACCTGCCTCACCCCTCCTGCCTCACCCCACCTGCCTCACCCCTCCTGCCTCACCCCTCCTGCCTCACCCATGCATTCATGTCCACCAAGCCATCGTAATAACCTCTAAACATGCTAAATGCTAACTAGCGCATTAGCTTTAGCCCCTTCCCCTGTATATATTTCAAGTTTCCTTTTAAAATAAACCTTTTCCCATTAATAACCACAAAGGCATCACATAATAACTAGTGCTGTCCAACGATTAAAATATTTAATATTTTGATATTTTGGACAGCACTAATAATAACCTCTGAACATGCTAACGGCTAACTAGCGTGATAGCATTAGCCCCTTTCCCTGTTTAAACGGGCCACATCTCTCTGCAGTAAACAGAAGCTGGTTTTAACTTCCTCCTCCCTCGGTTCTGAGGAAACCAGACTTAAATGTTGTCGCCTCGTTTTCAGTCTGTAATTTACAACATAATCACAGCTCACTTTTATCCAAAAAGCCAAAACTGGACATTCTCACATGCGCCGCTGTCGTAAACATCTGAGACCAAATTATAGGATTTTCTACTGTCTTTGTGTAGAGCAGGCAGGAGGAAGCTCAAACCCAAACTCCTCACTCCTGACTCCTTACTCCTGACTCCTCACTCCTCACTCCTGACTCCTCACTCCTGATTCCTCACTCCTCACTCCTCACTCCTCACTCCTCACTCCTGACTCCTCACTCCTGACTCCTGACTCCTGACTCCTGACTCCTGACTCCTCACTCCTGACTCCTCACTCCTCACTCCTGTCTCCTGACTCCTCACTCCTGACTCCTGACTCCTGACTCCTCACTCCTCACTCCTGACTCCTGACTCCTGACTCCTCACTCCTGACTCCTGACTCCTCACTCCTGACTCCTGACTCCTCACTCCTGACTCCTGACTCCTCACACCTCACTCCTCACTCCTGACTCCTGACTCCTCACTCCTGACTCCTGACTCCTGACTCCTCACTCCTGACTCCTGACTCCTGACTCCTGACTCCTGACTCCTCACTCCTGACTCCTGACTCCTCACTCCTGACTCCTCACACCTCACTCCTGTCTCCTGACTCCTCACTCCTGACTCCTCACTCCTCACTCCTGACTCCTCACTCCTGTCTCCTCACTCCTGACTCCTGACTCCTCACTCCTCACTCCTCACTCCTGACTCCTGACTCCTGACTCCTCACTCCTGACTCCTCACTCCTCACTCCTGACTCCTGACTCCTCACTCCTGACTCCTCACTCCTGACTCCTGACTCCTCACTCCTCACTCCTGACTCCTCACTCCTGACTCCTCACTCCTCACTCCTGACTCCTCACTCCTCACTCCTGACTCCTCACTCCTGACTCCTCACTCCTGACTCCTGACTCCTCACTCCTGACTCCTGACTCCTCACACCTCACTCCTGTCTCCTGACTCCTCACTCCTGACTCCTGACTCCTGACTCCTCACTCCTGACTCCTGACTCCTCACTCCTGACTCCTGACTCCTCACTCCTGACTCCTGACTCCTCACACCTCACTCCTCACTCCTGACTCCTGACTCCTCACTCCTGACTCCTGACTCCTGACTCCTCACTCCTGACTCCTGACTCCTGACTCCTGACTCCTGACTCCTCACTCCTGACTCCTGACTCCTCACTCCTGACTCCTCACACCTCACTCCTGTCTCCTGACTCCTCACTCCTGACTCCTCACTCCTCACTCCTGACTCCTCACTCCTGTCTCCTCACTCCTGACTCCTGACTCCTCACTCCTCACTCCTCACTCCTGACTCCTGACTCCTGACTCCTCACTCCTGACTCCTCACTCCTCACTCCTGACTCCTGACTCCTCACTCCTGACTCCTCACTCCTGACTCCTGACTCCTCACTCCTCACTCCTGACTCCTCACTCCTGACTCCTCACTCCTCACTCCTGACTCCTCACTCCTCACTCCTGACTCCTCACTCCTGACTCCTCACTCCTGACTCCTCACTCCTCACTCCTGACTCCTCACTCCTCACTCCTGACTCCTCACTCCTGTCTCCTGACTCCTCACTCCTGACTCCTCACTCCTCACTCCTGACTCCTGACTCCTCACTCCTGACTCCTCACTCCTGACTCCTGACTCCTCACTCCTCACTCCTCACTCCTGACTCCTCACTCCTGACTCCTCACTCCTCACTCCTGACTCCTCACTCCTCACTCCTGACTCCTGACTCCTGACTCCTCACTCCTCACTCCTGACTCCTCACTCCTGACTCCTCACTCCTCACTCCTCACTCCTGACTCCTCACTCCTGACTCCTCACTCCTGACTCCTGTCTCCTGACTCCTCACTCCTGTCTCCTGACTCCTCACTCCTGACTCCTCACTCCTCACTCCTGACTCCTGACTCCTCACTCCTGTCTCCTGACTCCTCACTCCTCACTCCTGTCTCCTGACTCCTCACTCCTGACTCCTGTCTCCTGACTCCTCACTCCTGTCTCCTGACTGCTCACTCCTCACTCCTGTCTCCTGACTCCTCACTCCTCACTCCTGACTCCTCACTCCTGACTCCTCACTCCTCACTCCTGACTCCTCACTCCTGACTCCTCACTCCTCACTCCTGACTCCTGTCTCCTGACTCCTCACTCCTGTCTCCTGACTCCTGACTCCTGACTCCTGACTCCTCACTCCTGACTCCTCACTCCTCACTCCTGACTCCTGACTCCTCACTCCTCACTCCTCACTCCTCACTCCTCACTCCTCACTCCTCACTCCTGACTCCTCACTCCTGACTCCTCACTCCTCACTCCTGACTCCTCACTCCTGACTCCTCACTCCTCACTCCTGACTCCTCACTCCTGACTCCTGTCTCCTGACTCCTCACTCCTGTCTCCTAACTCCTGACTCCTGACTCCTCACTCCTCACTCCTCACTCCTGACTCCTCACTCCTGACTCCTCACTCCTCACTCCTGACTCCTGACTCCTCATTCCTGACTCCTCACTCCTGACTCCTGACTCCTCACTCCTCACTCCTCACTCCTGACTCCTCACTCCTGACTCCTCACTCCTCACTCCTCACTCCTGACTCCTGACTCCTGACTCCTGACTCCTCACTCCTGACTCCTCACTCCTGACTCCTCACTCCTCACTCCTCACTCCTGACTCCTCACTCCTGACTCCTGTCTCCTGACTCCTCACTCCTGTCTCCTGACTCCTCACTCCTGACTCCTCACTCCTCACTCCTGACTCCTGACTCCTCACTCCTCACTCCTGTCTCCTGACTCCTCACTCCTCACTCCTGACTCCTGACTCCTCACTCCTCACTCCTGTCTCCTGACTCCTCACTCCTGTCTCCTGACTCCTCACTCCTGACTCCTGTCTCCTGACTCCTCACTCCGGTCTCCTGACTCCTCACTCCTCACTCCTGTCTCCTGACTCCTCACTCCTGACTCCTCACTCCTCACTCCTGACTCCTCACTCCTGACTCCTCACTCCTCACTCCTGACTCCTCACTCCTGACTCCTCACTCCTCACTCCTGACTCCTGTCTCCTGACTCCTCACTCCTGTCTCCTGACTCCTCACTCCTCACTCCTGTCTCCTGACTCCTCACTCCTCACTCCTCACTCCTGTCTCCTGACTCCTCACTCCTGACTCCTCACTCCTCACTCCTGACTCCTCACTCCTCACTCCTGTCTCCTGACTCCTCACTCCTCACTCCTGACTCCTGTCTCCTGACTCCTCACTCCTCACTCCTCACTCCTGTCTCCTGACTCCTCACTCCTGTCTCCTGACTCCTCACTCCTCACTCCTGTCTCCTGACTCCTCACTCCTCACTCCTGTCTCCTGACTCCTCACTCCTGTCTCCTGACTCCTCACTCCTCACTCCTGTCTCCTGACTCCTCACTCCTGTCTCCTGACTCCTCACTCCTGACTCCTCACTCCTGTCTCCCGACTCCTCACTCCTGACTCCTCACTCCTGTCTCCTGACTCCTCACTCCTGACTCCTCACTCCTCACTCCTGACTCCTCACTCCTCACTCCTGACTCCTGACTCCTGACTCCTCACTCCTGTCTCCTGACTCCTCACTCCTCACTCCTGTCTCCTGACTCCTCACTCCTCACTCCTGACTCCTGTCTCCTGACTCCTCACTCCTGTCTCCTGACTCCTCACTCCTCACTCCTGTCTCCTGACTCCTGACTCCTCACTCCTGTCTCCTGACTCCTCACTCCTGTCTCCTGACTCCTCACTCCTGTCTCCTGACTCCTCACTCCTCACTCCTGTCTCCTGACTCCTCACTCCTCACTCCTGTCTCCTGACTCCTCACTCCTCACTCCTGTCTCCTGACTCCTCACTCCTCACTCCTCACTCCTGTCTCCTGACTCCTCACTCCTCACTCCTGTCTCCTGACTCCTCACTCCTCACTCCTGTCTCCTGACTCCTCACTCCTCACTCCTCACTCCTGTCTCCTGACTCCTCACTCCTCACTCCTGACTCCTGTCTCCTGACTCCTCACTCCTGACTCCTGTCTCCTGACTCCTCACTCCTGTCTCCTGACTCCTCACTCCTGTCTCCTGACTCCTCACTCCTGGGACTCCTGACTCCTGTCTCCTGACTCCTCACTCCTGACTCCTCACTCCTCACTCCTGACTCCTGACTCCTGTCTCCTCACTCCTCACTCCTGACTCCTGACTCCTCACTCCTCACTCCTGACTCCTCACTCCTCACTCCTGACTCCTGTCTCCTGACTCCTCACTCCTGACTCCTGACTCCTCACTCCTCACTCCTGTCTCCTGACTCCTCACTCCTCACTCCTGTCACTCCTCACTCCTCACTCTCCTCACTCCTGTCTCCTGACTCCTCACTCCTGACTCCTCACTCCTGACTCCTCACTCCTGACTCCTCACTCCTGACTCCTCACTCCTGACTCCTCACTCCTGACTCCTGACTCCTCACTCCTCCTGTCTCCTGTCTCCTGACTCCTCACTCCTCACTCCTGACTCCTCACTCCTGACTCCTCACTCCTGACTGAGGCTGTATCAGGTTGGTGTAAAACAGTCAAATAAAAGCGATGGAAACATGACCAGACATTTATCAGACAGAAATGTTCTGTGTGTCTCTCTCATGGTCTCTCTCTTTGCTCCC